CGCCGTGCTGGAGGAGCGCTTCCTGCACGCCGCGCTCATGCGCGACCGCGTCGCCGCCCTGCAGCGCAAGGACGCCCACGTGCGCCTCAAGCGCCGCCTGGAGGCCGCCGTCAAGGAGCAGCGCTTCCGCGCCGCCGCACGCCTGCGCGACGCCCTGCGCCACACCACCCCGCCCCCCATCGTCCTCGACAGGGCCGAGTTTGACTTCAATGGGTGGCGACCGTACGCGACGAAGCGCGTCAACTCGTGTAAGGTGTCCAATGGCGTCTGTGTAGAGGTCGAGAGCTTTTATGACGTCGAACGGAGCGGCCGCCAGGAAAGGGGAAAGATGGCCGTGTTTGGCGTCAGGGTTAGGGTCAGGAATGAGAGGGAGGAGATCGTGCAGCTCGTCGGGAGGCGATGGTGTATTGAGTCATATGTGGTGGGCGGGAGGAAAGAGGTGGAGGGCTGGGGTGTGGGCGGGGAGAGGCGTCAGCCGGTGCTGGAGCCGGGCGAGGAGTTTGTGTTTGAGACTGCTGTTCCGGTTACGTTATTTGGCCTGGTGCCCGTGCCAGTGGGTGGGGAGGTCGAGGGTGTCGGGGAGGCGAACGCCGTTGTCGTCGGCGCATGCAGCGGCGCCGTCGAGTTTGTGTCGGGCGACTGCGGCGAGGACGACTGGGAGGCGGACGTGGGCGAGTGCTTCTTGGTGCTGCCCGGATGAGGAAAAACGCCGACGGCTTGTTCTGTTTTGTTTTTATGTATTGCAACCACGCGCCGGTTTCGAGGCGCGCGCTTGCTCGCTGGGATGCGTGCGTGTGAACGGTACACGCTTGCGACGGGGAGGAAGAGCATGTCAGTGCTGTCGTGGACGGTAAATGGGATGTCCTTCATGCCAGTCACGCGGGCATTGGGAGAGAGCCACACGCATCCCGCTTACCGTTTCGTTGATCTCGATAGAAATCAAAAATATTTGCCCATTGTTTTCCGTTTCGAAAAGCCACTCCCGAAGCCACATCCGTTTAACGTTTTTCGTATCGCTGTTTCTCCTTCCATCTCCGCGACAAACCCTGCCTCCGTCAACCCCGTAACCCCTCCCTCCCCCCAACCCCGCCCTCGCACCATGTCCATCCCCCCCACCCCTGTGATCGGGATCCTCACCGTCTCCGACCGTGCCTTCGCCCGCGAGTATGAGGACCGCGGTGGGCCGGCCATCTCGGCCTACCTCACCTCGCACTTCCTCCCGCCCTTCACGGTGGAGACCGCCATCGTGCCGGACGAACAGCCGCAGATCGAATCCGCGATCAAGCGTCTCGCCACGACCTGCGCGCTCGTCTTGACCACGGGCGGCACGGGCCCCGCGCCGCGCGACGTCACGCCGGAGGCCACAGAGGCCTGCTGCCAGAGGATGCTGCCGGGCTTTGGCGAGCGCATGCGCGCCGTCTCGGTCGAAAAGGTCCCCACTGCCATCCTCTCCAGGCAGACCGCCGGCATCTGCGATCGCTGCCTCGTCGTCAACCTCCCGGGATCGCCGAAGGCCATCGCGGAGTGTCTCGACCCCGTGCTTCCGGCCATCCCGCACGCCGTCAGACTCGCCAGAGGAAGGAACACGCTCAAGCTCAAGCCTGAGTTCCATCCCACCGGGAGGATGTGCCAGGAGTGTAACGTTACGCATTGATGAGCGGACAGCTGCGGGGGACCTAGGGCCTATGGGCGGAAGACGGGGGAGAGGGAGTTTGAGGATGGGCGCACGGAACAGCGGTACCAGCGTTGGCAGGCCAAGGCTGCATATGCTCGCGTGATTCAGTGGGATTGTCGTAAGGTGCATATGGAAGAGGCAGTCGTCGCGCAAAAAGGGCGCATAAGACCGGCGTTTCTGTACAATTTTACGACAGTCCTCAGGGCTCTCTGCGTAGTTACGAATGTTATTCTCAACCTTGCCTCGCGTCGGGGCCATACGCAGCAACCACGACGCGGCCGAACGAAAAAGAACTTCCCCCCACGCCTAAATATCAGGCGACATCCCCACGCCGCTGTTCTCGTGGCCCGCTTCAGTTGATTACGCCAGAGCCGCTCGCGATGGCGGAAAGGCCAGTATCCATACTGCGGCTCTCCGCACGCAAGCCCCTTCGCATCAGAGGGCCGTCCGGCTTGACCGGTGTGCCTCTCTGCTTTTCTACCGCGCGTGTCGTGCGCGCGCCTCGATCGCCAGTTCGGCGTGCACGGCTTCTTGGCAGTTTCTGCTGCACACCCGCAGGGGGCGACGCAGATGTCCTGGCCAGCGTGATGGCCCCCCCTTGCCCTCCTGCGCATGACACTGGGTCCATGGGTGGATGCTGTGGCGGGGGGCGCGGCGGCAGAGCTTCCATGGCCACGGGGCAGATCGAGTGCGCACCGGGCTCCGTGTCCTCATCCAGGGCCATGAGTGTGAGCGGAGTGGGGCTCAAGAAAGGTTCTTCCACCTGCAGATGCGGAAGCAGCGGGGCGGTGACGATGCGCGGCGCGGCATCGGCATCGCCGTCGGCGGCGCCCGATGTGGCCAGCGCGTGCGCAGCCGCTGCCACGGTGCGGCCGGCGGCGGCCGTCTGCGCGTGCAGCGCGAGTGCGTCCTCGAAAGTAGAGCTGCGTGAGAGGTAGGCACGTGCGTGCGCGCGCGGAGGGTGCGGCACGTTGTCGTTGTCCCGCGCGCCGGCGGCGGTGGCCGACAACGCCGCGTCGACTGACATGCTACGCGCAATGCGCGCGCGCGCGGACGCTGTGGGTAGCTCCGCGGCCGCTAGCGGCCGCGGCTTGCCGTGCTCCTTCCAGGTGTGCAGCACTAGCGTCGTCAGAGGTGGGCGCGGTGGCATTGTTGCGGGGGGGAGGGGGGGGCAACAGGATGGGCAGAGATTTTGGCAGTACCGAAGTTGTCGTGGAGTTACACCCAATTGCGGACGGCGGGGAGTTGGTCATCCAAGGGAGAATAGCAGAAGGCGGCCGTGGAAGATGTCCTGCCACGTCGACGCGGCGGAGAAATACTGTAGGCGAAATTTGGGGGCGTTGTCGGTGTCGTTAATCGCAGGGGGCAGTTTCGCCGCCTCTCACTAAAGCGCCGGCTTACACCCGCGGTGCATCGGCTTGTCCAGCGTGCGTCCCCGCGCGTAGCCCGATGCCGTTTGTACCGGCTCCTGACTTGGGGCGCGACGACGAGCGAAGCCCGATACTGTGCCAGTTACTTGGGACGACCGTCGCCACTTTGACTAGGTGATCGCGGTAACTTGGGGTAAACGGCAATGCGCGCATCCGTCTCCTTCGTCGTACACGCTTGCAACCACCGGGAGAAGCAGACGATCGGCAGTCGCCCGTCGGCGAACGTTGATATCTGTCAACAGAGTTGGTTGTAACTTTGGCATCCAATGCTGTGTGCCCACTCGCGGCGTCCCTGCTGGTCCTGCCAACACCTGTTGTTCAACAACAATGCAACCTCGCTGTGTAGCTCAAATTTAATTATAATTCAAGCCTAGCCCTTCTGCAAAAGTCCCCCATCCTTCTCAACACTCTGGCAAAAACTCACAACTTCCGACTAAACCGAACGTCCCACGCCCCCCTTCCCTACCTTCTGTCCCCTTCCCTACCCTCTGTCCCCTTCACACCTCTCCCGTCTACATCTCCCCCCCCCCGTCCAACCTTTAAGAACAACCCTCCCCCGCTCCAAACTACCCGCGCACTCCGCATTATCTCCCCCCACCCCTTCCCTCCACCATGCAGTCCTCCACCTTCCGCTTCTACCACCTCAAGATTTCCGCCAAGCGCCTGCCCGGCCGCCAGCTCCGCCTGGACCCTCTCGCGGTGGTCTTCGTCGGCGGCGCGGGCCAGTGGAATGAAATCGGCCGCACGGAGAAGCGTCTCAACGAGTGGAACCCGAGCTTTGCGAAGTCCATCACTCTACCCGGCGACAACGACAACCAGCGCCGCGCCCAAGTCCGCGTCGACTTCTACAACAAGGAAATGACCGAGTCCCGCTTCCTCGGCACCTGCGAGGTTAACTTCTACGCCCTCATCCACGCGAAGGGCACCAGCGTCGAGCTGGAACTCAACACCCCCGAGCCCGTCAAGGGCAGCCCCAGAGTCTTCCTGACCGCACAGGAGGGCTACAACCAGCCCGGCGCAGATAGCAGCAGCCTCGTCAACTTGTCCATGCAGCTCATGCAGACCAACTACTACGGCGTCAGCATGCGTATTTACTACGAGATTAGCCGCGCCGGCAATGGAACATGGGTCCCCGTGCATAAGAGCGAGAACATCCAGATCGACGAGCAGGGCTGGGGGCAATTTCCGGCCAACAAGATCTCCATGCAAGACTTAACCATGGACGAGGAGAGCTGCGGCCTGCTCTTCAACCTGTACCGGTACCGCCGCCTCGGCTCGAAGAAGCTGCTGGGCTGTTTCCAGACATCTATACTGGAGCTATCGCGAAAGTCAGTCGGCGAGTTTGTCCAGTTCACGCCCAACCACAAGGAGGGCCTCCTCGCCGCCGATGTGCAAGTGCTCCACACGCAGAAGACCGGCTCCACCTACGACGTTTCGCTCAAGCTCGTCAACGTGCAGTGGAACGCCACGCTGCTCACAGAGGCCACCGTGGTATAGGGCTTCACGAGCGCACGTCACGCTGCCCCGGCAAGTCGCTCGGCAGCCGAGTCGTGCCGCGGCGGTCCCGCGTTCACCGTGCCACTGGACACGCCAGGAAGTGAGCGGCGCGTGCGGGGCGAGGAGCGGCGCGCGGCTTGCGACATGCGTGCGTGATGGGCTTGATTGACGATCGGAGTTACGCGCTCCGCGGACGTTGAGGCTCTAGCGCAGGTTGCGAAGGGGTCTCCTGTTTATGTTTGGGGCGGGGCAAACATCTTCCGTTCGGCGGTGTAGACTGTGGTGAGGCGTGAACCATAAAGATTATGCAATGTACACTTGAAAGTGCAAGCGGATAGGGCGGTTGCTTTCCGCTACAGTGAGAAACGGGGACGTGGTAGAAGTGGGGTGATTGCAGCTCCTCCGCTCCGCGAGTGTTGTTGGAACAAACGTAAAGGCTTGACCTGGAGCCTCATCCGCTTCCACAGCTTTTTTTTTGTCTGGTGACTCGGCACACGCAAGCAGAGTTGAAACTGGGGATATGCCTGCACCTGCTTACCTCTCCTCTTCAGTGACATAACATGCGGGAGAAAGTGCCTCATACCAAAGGTACAGTTGGCGACTAACCTTCCTTTCCCGAGTGTCGAATAGGTGGTCGTCACTGATCCTAAAGGATGGGCGCTTGCGAGATCGCTTTCTGCTGGCGCGCGGCGGTGTAGGACTGTAGTACAGTACACCACTCTACCCCAACGGCGGGAGGTATATATAGTTTTATAGCAAGAATCACAAAAGGTCGTTACATGGGAACAGGCCCTGGAATCGGGCCCCTCTCAGTGCCATCTCGTTCTAGTGATAATCTCATCAGGGCGTCAGCCTAGTTGAAAGGGCAGTGACTATGCACAGAGTACAGTTTGCCCTTGTTCTCCAGGCGGAGGGAACAAAAGCTTGCGATTCCACTCTTTGGAAACTCGGATTTCTCCTACTAGCGCTTCACGGGCAGCACGGGCAGCACGGTGGCCGAGCAGTTGACTTTTAAAGCTCAAGAGCTCATGATGCTGTTGGTGACGAGAGAAAAATATCGCGTCTTTTTCGTTCGGTGGGGAAACGTTGGTGGAGATTAGCGTGCACTGTATTTTGTGTTTTTTTCCGTTTCAGTTTCATTTAAAAAAGATTATATTTCAACAGTCTCGCTTGGTGGCGAACTCATTGTACATAGTGCGATGTAATGGCGAGTTTGAATCGAGTTGAATCGTGAGCATGAATATCTTTTCACCTGAAGTTTTTAAAATAGTCTCGATCGGCACACACATAGAAGCGGCAAAATAGAAGAAACAGTCTCTCTCGCGGTACTCAAAACTCCACTGTGAATCTACAGCACAGCAATATACGTAGACCCATCACAGCCTGGGCTTGGTGAGGGCGCTCTTGAGAGCGAACCTCGACTGAGATCAGTCGAGGTTGGCGTAAAAGAGGGACGGGCCCCTCGCGCAGCAAGCAGATGGGCTCCTGGCCCGCACGGCGTATCATAAGTTCCTGACACTTGCATCAGAACACTCGTCTGCGCGACTGACGGTTCCGATACATGCGCCGCCCGTGCCTGACAGGGCGTGCGGGCGGGCGGGCGGGCGGGCGGAGCAATGATATCGCTTGATGTAATACACGCCGCGGTTTGTGGGAGGCGGAAATTACAATGAAACAGAGGTACGGTAAGAGACCCTTTTCCTCAAATAACTCTGGGCGGATGCGGTGCAAGTAAATTGTGCGAGGAACATGTTGCACAGCACCCAGTACAGTACTGGAGTTAATATCGTGGTTGGACCTCGGTTTGGAAGGTATGAAGGACGGACCTCAAAAGAAAGTAATGAAGACATTGATGCTCTAGAAGGCGATTATTGTATCATTCTCCATGCGGTGTACGGGTGGCTACTTTTCTTCAGAGAGACTTATTGGAACGTGTTGCCATCAAACGGGGCGCAGGTTTAGAAGAATCATTCATGTACAGGGTATCTCATGGGCGGCATCGAAAACCGTGCTATGCAATTTATCGGCAGATCAAAATTTCGTCATATACCCTGCGAAGGGTACCCAAGGGTACCGTATGCCAGCTGGAAATGACTGTGGTCAATGTAGTGTAGTACCGTATATGTACCCTTGGGTACTGTATGTTAAAAGAGAAGGTCGAAAGAATGATAGAGTACTGTACGGGTATCTATGTGAAGAGGCAGAGCAGCACAAATGTTTTCTCCTTCGACTCGCCCGCAGAGACTCTTCGACCGCAACGCTGAGATAACGGCGAATAGTCAAGGGCGGGAGGTCATAACCAATTTCCTACAGAGGAAAGCATACTTGTACGTGTAGGGGATATCAGAATTGTCTTTCTTGAGGCGAGTCATTGGATATTGATAGCGTAGAAGCTAGAAATCAGTTTCTACTACAGTACTGTACGGCCCAGAATTTCTACCAGTTGATGAAATAAAGTGGGGAGCGTCATCATGATTCGACGAGAGAACACTTGCACCACTAATTACAGCACGAAAAAGAGTCACTTTGCAATACCCTGTACCCACAAGCGACCATAAAGTTTAAGCCCCTGCCGCATAAATCTCCTGCATAAACAAACCTTCCCACCCGTCAACTGGGGGCACCCACGCCCGCGATTCGGCTCCGCAGTTGAAGCCCACCCCCGCCTCCACGTGTTATGGTTATGGCCGGAGCGCCTCTTCGCCTATAATCGTTACGCCCCGTGCCTGTGCCTCTCCGCGCTGCCGTCCATCTATCCTTGGGTACCTTCTTCGCGATTCGCGAATGCGCGCCCAATAATCGCAGACCGCCTCCCAGCGCGGGCGCACCTCCCGAGACGGGG